AGAAAAGTAAATGACCTTTATAATGAGAACTACAAAACATTACTCAAATAAATCAAGGATGACACAAATGGAAAAAATTACATGCTCATGGATTAGAAGAATCAATATTGTCAAGATGTCTATCCTACCCAAGGTAATCTATAGATTCAATGCAATACCCTTCAAACTTCCAACATCATTTTTCACAAACCTGGAAACAACAATACAGAAATTCATATGGAAACAAAAAAGAGCACAAATAACTAAAACAATCCTCAGCAAAAAGAACAAAGCTGGAGGTATCACACTTCCAGACTTTCAACTTTATTTCAAGGCTACAGTAACCAAAACAGGTTATTGGTACAAGAATAGGCACAGAGACCAATGGAACAGGACAGGGATTCCAGAAGTAAAAACACAGTCTCTCAACCAAGTCATTTTTGACATAGCCACCAATAACAACAACTGGGGAAAGGAGACCATATTTGGCAGATGGTGCAGGGAAAATTAGCTGACCACATGCAGAAGAATGAAACTGGACCCCTACCTGTTACCACATATAAAATCCAACTCAAAATGGATCAAGAACCTAAATGTAAAACCACAAACTATAAGAATCCTAGAAGAAAATATAAGAAATATCCTTATGCACACAGGAGTAGGCAGAGAATTCTTGACCCAGTTCCCAAAAGCAAATGCCATGAAAGCTAAGATAGACAAGTGGTACTTCATCAAACTGAAAAGCATTTGTGTAGCAAAGGAAACCATCAAGAGAGTAAAGATACCCACAGAATGGGAGAAAAATTTGCAAAGTATGCATCCGACAAAGGCCTAACATCCAGGATCTAAAAGAGACTCAAATTAGGTGAAAGAAATAAAACAAACAACCCCATTATAAAATGGGCAAAGGACATGAACAGACACTTCTCAAAAGAAGCAGCCAACAGACACGTGAAAAAATGCTCAGTCTCACTAGTCATCAGAGAAATGCAAATCAAAACTACTGGAAAATATCACCTAACCCTGGTAATGATGGCTATTATTAATAAGTCAAAAAACAACAGATGCTGATTCCATCGCAGAGAAAAAAGAACGCTTCTACACTATTGATGGGAGTGCAAAATAGTTCAACCTCTATGGAAAGCAGTGTGGCATTTCTTAAAAGAACTAAAAATTGACCTTCCATCTGATCCACCAATCCCTCTTCTGGGAATATACCTGGAGGGACATAAATTACTCTGCCAAAAAGACACCTGCACATGCATGATTATTGCAGCACTATTCACAATAGCAAAAACTTGGAACCAATCTTACTGCCCATTGAAAGTTGGAGACCATCATACTAAGTGATCTATCACAGAAACAAATAACTGAATACCACATGCTCTCATTCATAGGTGAACTCTGAACGTTAGTCACACTAACACAGGTAAGGATCACAGTTGCTGGGCACTGCTAGGGGAGGGAGGGAAGGAGGAGGGTGGGGAGCACATGACAATACAAAGGGTACCTGGTCCACTACTAGGGAGAGGGAGAAACTTCACCTGCATGCATCCTTGGCACACTAAATGAATAAAAATACTGTAAAGCATATGCCACAGGACCATAGCTTTATTAAAGAAAGAAAGTACACATATCCCAAAATTAAGGCAAGAATGGTTATAAATAGGTGACGCAGAATAAGGAATAATTTTCATTTTATTTCATCTGATTTTTGCATTATACAGTGTTTCTTTCACATTCTGAATTATTTCAGTATCTGAAAATAAAATAAAACTTACATTCATAAATCAATTATAATACAAATTAAAAACTGGAAAATATTTGTAGTTAATTAATTTGTTCAACAAATATTTATCATGTGAGACTGAGCATGTACCTCACATCTTTAAAATAAAATAAAATGAAAATATTTATCATGTGTCCTTTATGTACCAAGCACTCTCTTAGACACTGGAGATGTAATGATCAACGAGACAAAAAGCCCTTACAGAATTTACTTCTTAGTAGGAGGTATAGATGTTAAACAAGTAGATTAATAAGTTCTGAAGATAAGTACAGATAATGAGAAGTGCTATAAAGGAAATACACAAGGTTCAGGTGAACTTTGAGTTGGGCCCTGAAGAATGAGAGGGAGTCAGCCTGTAAAGAGAAATGAGAAGAATATTCTTGGCAGAAAGAACATAGGTGCAAAACCTAGGAGCAGCAAAGAGCGTGGCATATGTCAGAAGAACAGGCAGGCAGTCAGTGTGGATGCTGAGTGTTGGGTTTAAGATGAGGTTGACCTAGACAAGGGCAGAAAAAGTAAAAGTGTGTAAGTGTTAGAGTTTTTTTTATTTTTATTTGAAAGAGAACTATGGATGGCATTGAAACAAGGAAGTGATATCTAACTTGTTTTTTTAAAAGAATTCTGCCTGTTAAGGAGGGATGATATGTCTTAAATATAAAAAGTGCACAGTAATGAATAAAAAGCAAAAACAAAAAATACACAGGGCGATTGGTCAAGGAATGGGAAGGAGAAACATAAATTAGTAAGAAATATAGAACAATTACTACTACAGTAGTGAGCAAAACAACAAATGTAAATAATTTTTCACCTATTAAAGTACAAAAGTAGAAGAAAAATTAGTATGTGTTAAGGATACCACGAGATAGGCAACCACAAAGTTGGGATTTTAATATATTTTTGGAAAATAATATAATGGTACATTTCAAATGTGTTACAAAGGTGCCTTTCTGGTGATTTCCCCTATTAGGAATTGACCTTAAGGAAATAATTGCTATCAGCAAGCATATATGTATAGGGTGCTGATCTAAGTGTTAGTTAAAATGTTTTCAATGTTTTTTTAAAAATCCTTTTTGGTAAAGAGATTATTTGCAATTTTGTTCTCTTCTTTGTACCATTCTGTGTTTTTTAAGAATTCTACACGGAGCAGATTTCTACAATCACAAAAATGTGATTGAAGACATGGTTAAGAAGTAGTACAAAGCAAATTCACCATGACACAGATAATATCGTGTAGAAGAAAAAATAAAGTTTTGGAATTATATGTATCTAAATTACATTTTTTTTTTACCACTTTCAAGCTTCATGACTTTGGGTAAGCCAACTTCTATTAGACTTTGTACTCTCATCTGTAAAATAGGGATAATAAATGGCTCAGAGTGCCCTTATGAGGGTTACCAAGCATATAAAATATCACCTAGCATGGCATTAAGACTATTATAACTATTACTCCTGTTAATACTTCCAGGTATTGTCAAAACACCAGCAACTATTCGATCTTTACTAAGAGACAGCTACTTTGTATTTCATTTACAAAATCTACCACTATCATTTAATACACCAAACCAAGAGGAAGAAACTACCGTTATTCCTGTCTTACAGATGAGTATTTAAGCATAGAGAATCTACTTGTTCAAAGCACCAAGCTAGTAGGTAGCAAATCTTGTATGATTACAGAATCCAAATTCTTAGGGACTATACATGTTCAAGACATTTTAACTGTCTTCATCTTGTACCTCTGGTGTTTCAATGTTTAGAAAAGCTCTCTTTTGTATGTAATAAGTTGCTAGAATCTGTATGCAGAAATCTATTTTTTCAGCATTAGATATTCCTCTTAAGCAAACTGACAGATGGCTTTGCCTATAACAATTGTCTCACACATATGTGTCGACTGCCTGCTACTGCAATCCACTCTGCATGGGGTCTAAAGATGGGTGAGGCCTAATTCATCATGCCCTTGAGAAATTTATATTCTAGTTGCAAGTATAAGACAGAACAATTACAATACAAATTACGTTGTCATATAAGAGGTACTTAAGGCTAGGGAAGGGAGTAATAATTTTTGCTATTAGAATGCAGACAGACTTTCTGAAAGAAGTAGCTTTTGAGTAGATCTTGGACAAAGAATGGGAGGCAAATAAAGGAGAAAAGCAGAAACTGATTAAAAAAAAAGCACCACAACCTAGCTGACCATCTTTCACTGGGGTTTAGAAAACAATATGTGCCCAAGAAGCGTCAGAAGATGAGGGCCAGGCCATGGTGGGCTTTGAGTACCTGTACATCTTTTAATAAGCAGAAAGTTTCTGTAGGCTTTTTAGTAAGCAGAAAAAAATCAGTCATCTACTTCAGAATATTATTTTGTCAACTGTAGAAAGAATTGAAGAAGGTACGACTGAACATCAGGATGAGATTCAGTGAGGAAATATTTGCAACCATTAGGTAATACGAGATTGAAAGTAATAGAGAGCAGATAGGTAAGAAGTAAAAGGCAAGCAATTTAGTTATGAGTTTCAGGTGTTGGTAGATACGTTTATCCATCAGGAGGCCCATCAGAAAGTGATAGTCTCTACCTGTTCTTGCTCTCTATATGAGAGTCTTATGATGATTGTGAACTTCTGTGATTAAACATTTCAAAAGAATGGTGTCATTCCTCTACTAAATGCTGCATTATTAAAGGACTTGCCTCTTTATATCAGAGATTCTGTCAGAAAGGGGGTTCAAATTGGGATTCTGAATCAACTCTCTAACGAATGTGGGTACAACTAAGGCATACATGTCATTTATTAAAAAAACCAACAACACGTCCTTTGTACTCTTTTTGAAATAATACAACTTTTAAATTCAAAGATATATGTGTCTCTGTATTTGCTACTGAAGTTCTAACACACGGGTGAGGTCCTCTATGACACAATCATCCATGGACCTACAATATCTTGCTTCCTCTAGATTAATCCCATTCATTTAATGGAGATGAAGAAACAGTAGCAAATAACTTCATGACATTCAATACACTTCTTAGAAAACTAGTACATATTAAAAACACAAGCAGATTAATAATTCTGTAGCCTAAAATGTCAAACCCAAAATCAAAGGGAGAATTGACAAAATGCAGTTTCATGCAAAGCCTTGCTCATCTATCACAATTTGAGGAAAAACGTATATACACACTCACACACATGCTTGATTTGTTTGACTCATACACGAATGATTACATTGGGAAAGGTCAGGCTTTGAAAACTGTTTCCTAGAAATGAATTTATTTATGCCAACTCGTATGAGTCATTGTACATATTTTGTACCCCATAAGATTAGTTATGATCATTTGACCATTTTTGTTTACTCATTTTTTTTCTTGCCAGACAAGGCTCTCAATAAATATTTTCTTTAGAACATTCTTAGAAATAATTGAAGTACAAAGCCACAAAAAGTGATGATATTAAACATAAAACACATGGTAGAATTAGGATTCTCACAGTAGCTCCTTTTAAATCTCACTGCTATTGGTAGCTTCTCTCAATTCTTCCGTCACTAATTCCTGCTTGGGTTTTTCTGCACTTGGCCTATAAAGCAAATTTTCCCCATGTGGGTTTTGAAATGTAAGTTCCTGGGCAAGTTGATTAGATGTGTTTATGATCATGTTGTTTTTAGCTCTTAGGGCATAGGCTTCCTTGGGTTTTGCTCTTTTTTGGCAGAGCTGGAGCTGGAAAGCATCTTGGAAACCACGGCGGAAATTCTCATTGAAGAAACCATAAACGATGGGGTTGACACTGCTGTTGCCAAAGGCCAGCCAGTGTGCGAAAGGATAGACGTAGATGTTGATGACCTGCAGTTCATTCGGAGAAAGGTCAGCATAGTCTGAGAGCATCATTAGAGTCCACAGGGGCAGCCAGGAGAGGACGAAAAGGAGGGCCACGATCAGAAGCATCTTAATGACCTTCTGCTTCTTCTTGGACACCACGTGCCACTGCTCCTGGTTCTGCCTGCCTGTGTGGGGCACTGTGGTTCTGAAGAGTGAAATCCCAATCCTTGCATACATGACGACAATGAGCGATAGGGGGGCCAGGTAGATGTTGGCAAACAGCACAGTGGTATAGATCTTCCTCATTTCCTGATTTGGCCAGTCTTCCCGGCACCAGTAGACTGGGCTCGTTTTATTCTGGTAGTTGAGTTTCACTTGGTAATATTTTTCTTCTTGTACATGTAGCATTGCTGCAGATGGAGACATAATGGTGATGGCCAGGACCCAGATGACCACAATAATGACAAATGCAGTCTTGATAGTGAGCTTTGGTTTGAAAGGGTAGACAACACATCGGAACCTGAAATTGAAGGCAAACATCAATGAGGCACTGCCCCATAACTTCTGACCAAGTCATGAATAAATTACTTATCCATGAAAAATAGATTACTTAAATTATTTAAGTAATTATGGGCCTCCCATCCATAGTCCTTTCACAGAATTATAGTAGAGCGGCATGGCCATTTTCTGTAACTGATACATGAGAAAAAATTAAACTCAAAATTTGAATAAGCATAATATATCAGACACTATGAATAATAGAAAGTAACAATGGTAACTAGCATATATTGAACAGGAACATTTGAAACCTTGTTCCATTGGTTTGCATGGACCGTCTCTTTAAGCCTCCCTATTTAAAGGATGGCAAAACAGACTTAAGAAAGGTAAAAATCTGGCCCACAGTTACATGGGATTTTTTTAACACAAGTAATTTGGCTTTAGAGCACTTACTCTTAACTTCTACAGTGTGCTCAGTAGACTGCTAGCTCTATGGTAGTGACATAGACTGTAAAATCAGTAACAATCAATAAGCTGTTAATTTAAACTCTTAATTTGAGTTCTTTCTTCCTAATGCCCTTGTGTGGTCCCCTACACATTGTATGTATGCTTGGCTATGTCACTTGCTAATATGACATTAGCAAGCACAAGGCAAGCAGAAGCTTTTAATGCTCTTGCACACTGGGGCTTGTCCTTTTGGAATGCTTTCTCTTAAAAGACAGCTTCCAGGTTGCAAGGAGCTTAATTTAGATGAGAGGCATGTGGAGAAAGACCCTTGGGGATAACGGTTTGTCCATTTTGGGTGTTTCTGTCCCAGAGCAATGCTGCAGCATGAGTGATTCCAGCTATGACAGGTGGAACCCTTAACCCATGGGACCATGAGAAATAAGTAATAGAGCAATGTTGTCTAAAGCCATTAAGCATTTGGGTGATTTGTTTCACAGCTATAAAAGTCTGTGAGTTTTCATTATGAGTTCTGATTATGATCCTTCCTAACATTCAATGTCCTCTGGTGAGCATGAAAATTCCACATCAGTATGTAGAGTAAGCTTGATTTATCTTACTACTATTTTGTTATTGTGGCTCTTGTTATTGTCATTATTGAAGTTCATTATGTTAATTGTAAGATAATCATACTAACATGCAACTGTGTAACATTTTATATTTCTTCAAAGTACTATTATTTATTTAATCTCTGATCTGTATAATGCCTTTATAAAACTGAAGTGCTATAAAAATTGTTACTTTCCAGATCGGCAGATAAGAAAATGTAGAGCTTTAAGTGGCTAAGCAGCAACTCCAAATTAACTTATCTGACATATCTTCATAGAAAGATTAGTTAGCTTGAGCTCTGACTGCTCTTTGTCATTTTTTGTAACTCCCTCTTGTGTAAGGTCTTCTCTCTTAACATCCAAGTGTCTCTCTGGTCTTCTAATCAATAATGCTACCATTCACCCACCTGAAACGATGGGTAATTACATAGGCATATTTTAGGTATTTTGTTATTTTTGAAAACAAACTAATGAAGTTTTAGATATTTTTTATTTCTTTATTAAACAAATATATATGCACACAGACACATTATGTGTGTGTATATATATATATGTATATTCAGGAAAACAAAGACCAACAAAATAGAGAGTGGTTCCTACTAAGAAAAACCAATGGAAAGAGTAAACACAGTATAGTAATTACTAAAATTGTGCTAAAGAGTTTGGACTTTATTCAAAGAGTGATAGGGATTCATTGAAGGATATTACATGGCTAGAGGCAGAACCATTTTTACAATTAAGGAATTTAGGAAGCATCTGAGTGTAAGTGCAAGGAATAAATGTGTGGTGGTTTTAAAACATGTCCAAGTTCTTTGACATTTCTCCCAAATCCTATTCCTTTCCCCTTGACTATGGGCTAATGACTCAGTTCTCATGAAAAGAGTGCAACAGAAATGCTACTGCATGACTTTTGCTGGTACCCTCTCAGACACAGCTCAGGACACAGGCTTCAGAGCTCTGAACGGACAGACAAGAAGTCCAGGTGCCTTGAAGTCGCTATGATGGAGAGCCAGTGTGGAGACACCAATACAGATAGAGTGCCTGAGTACCTCCTGTTCTTTTAGCCCCCACCTGTGCAAGTCTTCCCAAGATAAGAGTGAAAGAGGCTTTAGCCTTAACCTTGAAGCTGAACCACCTGATACCAAGTAGAAGAGATAAGCTGTACTTGCTGAACGTGTACATATCACAGATGCATGACCATAACAAATATTACTGTCATTGTTAACTCACTAAGTGCTTTGTTTTTGGGGTGGCTTATTATGTAGCAGTAGATAACTGAAAGTATAAAGAAGTGATACATGGAAGGTAAGGTAGGTAGTAAAGGATGTGTATCAAGCCGTTAGTTTCAAAATTACCTAACCTGAGAGGAGAGAAAACTGAGTATTTCTACACCGACTCCCATAAACTTTTAATTGAAGACTGTTTCTAGAGGTATTAATTTCCTGACACTTCTGACCTCTTCTTAAGAACAGGGAAACTTTGCACAATTTGGATAGGAGACATAGAGATAAAAATACTAGCAATTGGATGTAAAGCAGAACTCACTGAAAGGTGCCAGAGACATATGTACTGAGAGCATCTTCTATAGAAGTGTCAACTTGAGTGGGCTAACGGGTGCCCAGATTGATCTTATTTCTGAGTATGCCTGTGAAAATCTTTACAGATAAGGTTAGCATTTGAACCAGTGGGTTCAATAGAGTAGATTGCCATCCCTAATGTGACGGGGCATCATCCAATCTGTTGAGGGTCTGAATAGAACAAGAGGCGGAGGAAGGAGGAATCTGCCCTCCGTTTTTTTCCTGCCTTTCAGCTCAATCTAGAAAATCTGATACTATCTTCTTCTCCCTCAGAATGGCATTTACATCATTGGCTTTCTGTAGTCCTCAGGCTTTGGACTTGAACCGAATTATATCACTGGCTTTTCTGGATCTCCAATTGACAGACAGCATATTATGGGATTTATCAGCCTTCCTAATTATGTGAGCCAATTCCTTCCAAAAAATCTCTCTCTCTCTCTCTCTCTCTCTCTCTCTCTCTTTCTCTCTCTCTGTGTGTGTGTGTGTGTGTGTGTGTTTATGTGTGACTATTGTTATTGGTTCTGTTTCTCCGGAGAACTCTGACTAAAATATGGAGTCATTGGCATACAGATGGTTTTGAACACTTTTGAAACATAGTATTACCTGTACTATACTACTTTAAGACTGATAATTTCTCAAAAATGCCGTCTTAGGTTAGTGATTTTTCCTTTTCCTCCTGTAGTTGAGATAAGGACTCCAAGATTTCACAGTATATGAAAAGATATTTATTTTGTAGAAGCAGCATTAAAATATTTCGTACTTACCCAGTTCTAAACAATTGCTTAGTATAGTTTTCTCCTCATTGATATAAACTTATAATAGAAAAAGAACAGAACTGTCCTTATTTCAATCAAACTAAATAAATTCTGAAAAATAGAGTTCTGAAATTCATAAATTTGAGTATAAGGTTTAAATATAAGTATGAACTTTGTAGCAACTTGGGTGGACTTAGAGTCTATAATACTGAGTGATCTATCACAGAAGCAAAGAACTGAGAATCACGTTCTCACTCATAAGAGAATAATTGTTCTTCTCACCTTGAACAATTATCATAATACTATAAGAAGAAAAGGATTGTAGGTAGTGGGAAATTGCTTAGGAGTGGGGCGGGGGGGGATTGGCAATAGTGGAATTCTGTCGGGGTGGGGGGGCACTCCTCATCAACAAGGGTACCTGCATAATGAACATTTGTTTACTTAACCCTGAATTATACCCTACATCTTTAAAATAAAAACTTAAAAAAAATTTAAATATAACAATGAAGGGTTGATTGCTATGCAATGAAATAAATAAATAATTCCTATATTTCTTTTTAAAATATTTCAGTCATATAAAAAAAGAAAACTTTTCTTTGAAACTTCCATAATAAGCTATTTATGCCAATTCTTGAATTAAAATAATGTTTATGCCTTTTAATTATAAGATGATATGAGGAACATTTTTAATAAAGTTCACTGTTTTCTTGCCTATAAAGATATTTTCAAATCAAGTACTTCTATTTAAATGAAAGATATAGCTATCTGGTTATCTATGCATTTTGCTGTTATCAATATTTTTTAAATGCACATTTATCAAAAAGAACATTTTAGTATTATTTTATTTTACTGGTGCCACCTCAGAACAATTAAAAACGAATGCAAACAAAATTACCTCATTGAAGCAAATCAGACACATGTAAAATACATGTGTCTAAAGTAAAGTATCTCTCTAAAAAAGTAACACTCCATACAAAAAATAAAAGTAATCCCTATATTCATGTATTGATTAATCTCACTTTTAAGGTTTTTCAAGAATTTAGAAAATTTGACAAAAAAGGCAATGCATACCTGTGTTATTGATACCCAAATGCAACAAATATTAACTATTTGTCATATTTACAAGGGGTTTTAAAAAGAAAAAAAACATTATATAGTTGAAATATTCTTAGTTAATTTATTCAAACCCATTCTTCCTTTCTCCCCAGACATCCCAACATTGCTATGTATCTATTCTGTTCATGGTCTTATGCTTTTACAGTATGTCATCATCTATGATTTAAATTTTACATATAACACCATATTGTATGTATCATTATGCAAACTTTTTCTAAGATGCTATGCTTTCCAGGTGTATGCATGTTGATTTATTATGACCTAATTCATTCCTCTTAATCACTGTAAAATTATTCATTAAAAGTAGCATAAGCTATTTATTGATTCTAATCTCACTTACTTTTCAGAATGAAGATCAATGTTTATGTCTAAATCTATGTTCAGGAGGCATGATGGAAACAGCGAGAAAAGAATTTAAGGATATTTAAGTACTAAACACAACGAGGAAGTACACATGACTCAAGATTCAAATAGAAAATGCAAATGATATTATAGTATTTTATTCATTCTAAATATATGCAG